ATATTTGATATTATCCGAACTTAAACTTGAAATAGAATTCGCCGTAAACGTTTTTATTCGTTGGATAAATACCACCCGTTGATTTTTATCATCACTAATGCGGAAAAAGAGATACCTATCATAGATTTGCGATCATCCTTTTTTCCCATATTCATTCGAAAAAAAGAAAATTTATCAGGGCAAGCTATTAGGATAGGTTATCTCCCGCAGATCAAAGGAGTTTTTTTATTCACATGCATGTAGATTAATTTACACAGTATTGCATATCAATTTCGCAGATGTAGTTAAAAAAAGGACAAAGTTCACTATGTGGACAAACTAATACTTTTTATTTATTTATGCATAACTACTCAAAAATGAAAAATCTGGACACGCGTGTCCGGGCGCAGTAATGTGGCGCAGTAAATGAACCTCCCTCAAAAATATTTTTTTTCGAGAGAAACAGCTTTCTATTATTTCTTTGCCTTAATTCCAAAAAAATATTTTGCTAATTTCTGTTAGATTAGTTGCCTTTGGCAACAGCTATGCTTCAAGCGAGAGAAAAATTAGAATGGGATGAGGAGCATGATTACAATGACGATATGAATCCTGGTCAACGGCAAAATATGTTAGACCAATTGTAAAGACCATCCACACGACCACACATAATATTCGTGTCTGAGATATGATGGATAAATATTATTTTATAAATTATTCTCTGGCTTCGAAATGTGGGCCAGCCAGTTTTTATATTTATATATTTTTTTATTTGTATATTGCGACATTTTTATATTAATAAAGATTCAGGCATGAATCATGCATACATATTGTCATTCTTATACTGTAATAAATAACCTTTTTTATTACTCCGATGCCCGCATATAACATACATTGGCTAAAAGGATAAGCCCAAAAAATAATTTATTAATGTAGTACGGATACTATCGGATATATATGCAGTAATGAGGCGCAGTAGTCACATGATCCCGATATTTGCCTAGTGATTTGTTGTGGTATAGGGTGTACCGAATATTGTATAGTTTATAATAAACTTTATTTTCTGTCGTGGGAGCAATTCAAGCATCTTTATTGTGGTCTCTCCTATATAATAAAAACCATTGCATTTATCACAATAAAAGAGTTATGTGCATTACTGAAAAATTTACATTTATTAATTCGGTATAATTACAAATAAAATATACAGCTTCGCAATTTAAATATTTATTTTCAAAATGTTATGTTTAGTGTTTGACATATTTGAGATAGTTGATGAAAGACTCAGCACAATCTTGAACCACAATCTGAGAGATCCTTTTAAAATAATATATTTAGCTGGACAAGAAACCACTCACAATGCTTTGAATAAGAGTCTTATTGAGTCGTGCGATTGAATCTGCACTATACGATTTAATCCGTTTAATTTTGTCTGTCCCTATTTCTCTAAACAAAGTATAGATATAACGGGTTTTTTTTGTTTTTTGGCATAAATTAGCTCGTGTAATACCAGGGAGATGTTGTTCAACTTCCTTATAAACCTTGCTTCTGGCTTTTTTCTCGGTGACTGAATCATTATTTAAAATCTCTTGGACCCTATTTTCGAACTTTTCTCCATAATAAAACCAAGACCAAATCTCTTTTTGATTGCCATTTCTTGCGTACTTTTCAGCGTGATTTGCTTTTTGATATAATCGAACCAGGCTTTCCGAAGATTGATCAAGTTCGATATCTTCACAGTGGGCACGGGTACAATTAATAATTCCTGTAAAATGCCTTGAACTTTACAAAGAGCTAAGCTTTGAGCTACCTCACCAATATCCATATCTTCAGTAGAAACAGATGTAGACTCATCCTTTTCTACAATCAATTCCTATAAATAATATGATTGTGAATATTCAATGTAAATTTAGCGAAAACTGATTATTCGGTGAATAATAAATTTGAATTATCAAATTTGCTCCAATCAGTAAACTATACAGAACTAAATTTTCTGCTTGATATTTTTTTTGTGAACTTTGCGATATGTTTTCTCATTTTTTGCTACGTAATTTGCATAATTGGCTAAACTACATTATCAAAATCTACTTCTTCACAATAACATCGCAAGTAGATTCTTAGTTTTACTGTGGATTACAAATCAAAACATGCTTACCTTTTTATTGTTTATATCTTCGTGATTATTCTTAAGTTCGTTATCGTGTTGTTCGTTAAAATTATCAACGTCTGGAGAATCCATTTCTTCATGAACATGGTCGTCTGGTAAATCCGTTTCTTCATCTAAGTTCGGCACATCATCATTAACATGGTCGCCCGGTAAATCCATTTCTTCATGTATATCATCATCAACATGGTCGCTTTGGTGATTTCTAGACCCACGATAACGATAGGCACTATCGTGAACATAACGTCGACGATGAGGACGACAAGAACCGGAAATATGATTTGTGTTAGAACCGGGAACGTGGTTTAAACTAGGATCAGGGAAAATAACTGAATCATCAATGTTGGAACTAGATGGTGCACTGTTATTCAACTGGTTTTCCGGGATTATGCAATGTGACTGAAGAATCTCTTCTGGGATTACGAGATTAAATATATCATGTGATCTTCCTTCGTTTTCGTTGGACTGCGTCTCTGAAAATCTTTCTTCACCATTGAATCCACCAAATAAACCTGCTTGACTAAAAAACTTATAACTGTTTTGCTCATCTTGACATACTGTGCAAGATACGCCAGAAGAAAAAATGTTGTGTTCTTCTTGTTCAATACAATTGCGATGGAATATGTTCCACAAATTAATATAGTGATTGGTTCCGAAATTTGTGGGTTAATTTCATCCCGACAAACACCACAAAGGACTGATCCTTGAATATCAACCTCTTCCGGTATTTGAAGAGCATCATAAAAGATTATTTTATAAGCAAATTTTTTTAGTCGTGCTCGCACATTGTTCTATTGGTTTTTGATGTAAGTTAAACATCTTAATTATATAGGTTAGACTAAACAAACATCATACCATATCTTACCTTCCTATAATCATCAATTATACCTTCCCAAAAAGGTCGTAATCGATCTCCGCGACGTTCCGATTCTACCTGTTAAGAAAAGAAATGTTAGCAGTGCATTATTTTTTATTTTGTGATAAAGAAAGGTACATAGTTGATTCCTCCTCCGGAATTAACAGTCCTTTACCAACAACAAAGTTTGGGCGCCTGAATTTGAGGACTTGGAGTGGATACCAAGCTGTCAAAGACAGTAATTCTCCTGAGCCAGGTCAAGTGTTTGATATGACTAAGAGTTACCCTTCCTTTGCAAAATAAAAAAAACGCAACTTTTCTTTTATAGAATTGTAATTTTTTTGATATTATTTTTTTTTTTTATATATTCTATTCGAAATGATTTTCGATATTTGAAATTAATTTCGATATTC